AAAATAGTAAAATTTCCCAACGATGGGTAGATGCTGTGAAAAAGTTATATAATTCTTGTAGATACCTAAAATATGTTGTCGATTTTTCACAGCAATCCACGGCAGATATCCCCACAAGGTTTAGGGAATGTGCTGAGCAAGGAACATAAATGGCAAGCGGAATGACTTCTTTAATTCTGGCTTGAAGGCCAGTGTATTTACCAGCCATGTTACTGGCATTATCATATGATTGCCCGCGGCAATTTTTAAAATCCAAATTATATTGATTAAGTGTATCAAAAACTGCATCAGCAAGTTGTTCAGATTTATGCCCAGTATTGGCAATAAACTTTAAAAATCGTTCTATAGGAGTACCATCTTTTGAAAGGTATCTTATGATAAAAGACAACTGATCAACATGGGATACGTCGGGCGTCGAATCAACGCTTATCGAAAAATACTTTGAAACTTTGACTTCTTCAACTATTTGTTTTGTAATTTGTTCTGCCATAATTTGTATAAACTCTCCGTATGTCTGTGAAGATAGATACGATGTATTACCACTACCGATTTTACCGTAATGGCGAATATGTTCTAATAGAAAGGGGTCAAATTCTGCTAAAAGTTCTAATGTCATAATAAAATTACCACTATGATACGACCCAAATTTTTCTTCACTGCCTCTCAGTGGTAACCCTCGAATTACTAAAGAACGTACAGTAGCAACTATTCTTTTTAAAATATTTCGCCAATAATTGGTTTCTTGTTCTAATTGCAAAACAATTTCTTGGTTTATTTTACCTGCAGTTTTTCCCCTTTCAATTAATGCAACTGTTGAAGTTTTATGAGGGATAGAATTTTCGTGCTCGTTTAATTTTCGTACAGCATTTTTCCAATCATTAAAACCAATAGTTACTAATGTTGATAAATGTGTACTTCCAAAGAGTCGACATGGTGCACAAAACACTGAACCAGTAGATTTCGAAAACACTAACCATGGTCGTGACTGTACTTCACCATTTATACGTGTTCTAACAAATAATGATTTATTTAAAAATCTATTTTTGTCAGGATACTCACGTTTAGAACATGTAAAATCATCATTTAAATTTTGATTTATTCCGTGTTTTGCCACATAATCGCGAGTTACATCATTAATAATCCATTTAGCCGGATCATTATTATCAATATAAAGTGTATCTGAATCCACATTTAAAGTAGAAGTTGTTAAGTTATTAATTACAAAATTCGATTCGCACTTAGTCATTTCTTTGTCGTCAATCGTTTTTAAATCATGTTGTTGATCATTATCAGGTGCATTCAAAGAAGACGGTGTAGTAGGTTTAAAGAAAGTACTTAGTTTAGGTATTTTATTTAGAACTTTAATCTCTTTATATTCTTTATCTTTGGCTCGCTTTTTATACTCTGAACCACTAAAACGTTTACGACCGTCACTCATGTTGAAAAAATGTTAATTGCTGTAAATTTAATACGTGAATTATTAATTATTAAATATTATATTGTGTTGTCGTAATATGCACTGCCCGACAATGACGAACAATAAACTGAAATGAAGTGTGGTCGTGTGTGATGTGGATACACAATATCTCTCGTCAATTTCTATATATATAATATTATTATCGTAATTACTTTTAGGAACAACTCATATTATATACCTAGGTATCTTATCTTTATAATTCACATTACAAGAAAATTGATTTCGTGTTATTGATATTTTAAGTGTCATGCACTCGTATATTTTACACACAGATATCTATACTACTAATATACTAATATATATTTCTGTCTTCTATATAAAAATCTGTGATTTTATATTACGATTACGATAAATACGATAGCTTATTAAGACGCAGGCCACAGAATTAACCAATGTGTCAAATTCATGGATTTACTTTTATGTTTTTTAAATACTTATATCAAATATTATATAATATTAATTTACGCAGACACGCAGTTACATAAATGCATAAAATATTCATATAATTTTTTTTTTATTTCTTACAAAATTTGCCGCCCCAAAAAAATTGCCGCCCTAGGCCCGGGCCTCACGGGCCTAGGCGTAAATACGGCCCTGCCTATGCAGTATGTACTTTGTAAAAGTATCTTTGAACAGATATCACTGATAAATTTCATATTTGGCTGAAAAAAAATAAATAAGGTACGTCCATAACGACGACAATAAATAAAATACAACTCTGTTGGTAAAACAAAAATTGTTTATTGTAAAATATAATTATTTTATACATGTAACTATGTAAGTACTTACTTCATTGCCATATTGCACGGTATCGTTGGTCGACATAATATTTTATTTCACGTTTCATGTTCAGTGATATGACATAATTTGGAATGGATACCGAAAGGTCACGTCATTATTGTAAAACCTAATTATATTATTATTATTATACTGTATCGTATTTACACATCGTTGTATAATATTACTTGTGCTCGCAGTTGGGTAGTCGTTTTCCGATTATTGGTTTTCCGCATTTCGCGGACGCGACACAGTCGATCAAAAATGACTGATACATTATCTGATCAATAAAATACTCAGTTGCCTTTAGGTCGGCACATAATAATTGTAACAATAGATTGAAATGTTACATGATACACAAGTATTTACGGGAATTATTGTGGTTGGTTTAGGCACCACGCCATTATATAATATGACGATATTACTGAAAACGTTCGTATTTTTTGAATTACAATTTACAGTTTATTAACTTTTGTGTCGAAGCAACACAATCATTACCATTATCGTGTTATACAGATATAATATAGGTAAATACATGGCACGCGAAACAATGCCCATCATCGAATAAAATAGTATAATAATATTGTTGTGCACATCGTTAAAAACGTAAACGGCGAATATAATTCTATTTTTTTTTATTTTTTTTTTGGGGGGATATTCTACGATGGGTATTTTACCAATAACCACCTGTATAAAATAGTTGTTGATGGTTGGGGGGGGGGGAGATAACAACTTTACACACTCCTTAATATAATACGAGATCTGTTCAAAAAGTACCGGGATTTTATTTTTAATAAATACAAAAGTTAAGTTACATATTATATAAAGATATCTCCTTCAAAATACTCTCTTCCGGATAAAACGCAATGGTCCCAACGTTCTTCCCATTTTTCAAAAATTCTTTGGAATTGTTTCAAAGTTCTTTGAGTGCAAATTTTAATTTTAGGAAAAGAAAAAAAGCACACGAGGCCAGATCAGGAGAATATGGAAGGTGTGGGACAACAGGTACTTTTTTATGAGCCAAAAATTCACGAATCAACAACGCCGAATGAGCTGGCGCATCGTCGTGGTGAAGAAACCAGGTTTATGTTCACAATTTTTCTGGGCGTTTTTTACAAATTTTTTTTCGCAAACGTATTAATACATCTTTGTAGAATACCTGATTGACTGTTTGTCCATGAGGTACAAATTCATAATGAACAATACCTTCAATATCAAAAAAAAAAAAAACAATCAGCATTGTCTTGACATTTGACCTCACTTGACGAACTTTTTTTGGCCGAGGGGAAAATTTTGTTTTCCACTGAGATGACTGAGCCTTCGTTTTTAGGTCATATCCATATACCCATGTCTCCTGTTATAATATTTTTTTATACAATTAGGATCAATAGAACGATTTTTAAGGTCTTGACAAATCGTTAAACGATTTTCTTTTTGTTCCAGCGTCAACAATCGTGGAACAAATTTGACAGCAACCCTTCTCATTTGTAAATTTTCTGTCAAGATTTCATGACGATCCAATTAAGATTCTCGCTTCATTTGCCAACTCACGAACGGTTTATCTGCGGTCATTTCTCACTTTTTCACAAATTTTCGACACAATATCATAATTTTTGGATGTCGATGGTCTTCTAGAACGTGGATCATCTTTAGTTGACTCTCGACCGTTTTTGAAACTTTAAACCAGGGGTCGGCAACCTTTTTAACCACACAGGCCATTTTTTTTTTCAATTGTTCATCAAGGGCCACATTAAAAAAAAAAAAATTACATATTATGATATAATACTTATAATTGTATTGCTATTATGAAACGGTTAGATTAGATTTTATTTATAAAGGAAAAAGAACTATATAATATTGAAAATTATATGAAAAATGTTATTGAACAAAAGTAAAACACAAAAATTAACCACCTTTGTGCGGGCCATCAAAAATTGCTCTGCTGGCCGCATGCGGCCCGCGGGCCGCGGGTTGCCGACCCCTGCTTTAAACCATTCAAAGATGTTTGAACGACTTAATGAATCATCCTCAAAAGCTGTTTTAATCATTTTATACGTTTCCATGGCATTTTTTAAGAGTTTCATACAGAATTTGATGCACACACGTTGTTCGTTAATTTCGAACATGTCGAAAACGCCAAACTAAACAAACTGACTCGACTAAACCATGTGTTAACTTTAACTGAGATAAGATAGCGACTTGGGTTTTATTTAAAATATTCACTAATACGTGGGAAGTATATCTATTTAAAATTTAAAATGTTATCGTGCCTAGATTAGCCATAATAATATTTGTCCTGGTACTTTTTGAACAGATGTTTACGACAGATGCGTAAAGTTTCATTTAACATTATAATATTATGTTTTAATTTATTCAGAGTATTAGTTTACGCCAATATGATAGTTTTTGCAGTATTTACCGTAACGTTTCACAAAGGTCAATATTAACAATAATAATAATAATAATAATTTAATATACTATTATGACAGTAGGTACAATATTATTACAAACTATTCTAAATATATATATATATATATGTGTGTGTGTGTGTTTGTGTGTCTGTGTATGTATACCGTACAACATAAATCGTAAATAGTAATCATTAATCAATTTACAATTTACATAATAATATAATATCGCAGCATAATAATAATAATATGTACATTAATATTTACGAACGGCGATAAAACAACAATACAAAATATAAATTGTATGGCATTTAAACGACGATGACGACGATGACGATAATATAATAATAATTATAATAATAATAATAATAATAATAATAATAATAGTAATAATAATAATATATTTAACAAACATAAGTTTATACCTCCCCCCATCAGCCCAATTACCGGCATCAACATCAGATGAGTCGTCATTTACAATAATATTATTTGATTTTATAATATAGAGGCAATTAAAAGATAACTAACGATAGGTTTTACTAAATATTATGAAGGAATGATAATATATTATTGTTCTAACTTGCGGTATATTTTTTCGTTTTGTCCTGGACCGATACCGTCCGTTATTCGGTGTAGAGGAAACCGCCACTGACAATGAGTTGTTCCGGTCGAACTGTCGGAAGTCAGACGAAACGGTACACAAGACGGTGGCAACGCCGCAAGCCATATTATATATCAAAAACCATCGGTAAAAACTAAAATATTAAAAAAAAAAAAAATTAAAGAAACAATAATTTATTATTAAACGTTACGAAATAACGTCATGTCAATGAGTTTTATCACGAGAACATAATTGAAGATAATTTAAACTCGATTTTAGAATTTTTCCAACTATAAATAAAACTAATTATCTTAAGAAGTTTTGAGGTCAGGAATTTGAACTATTAAACCTCTCTGAAAACAGCCATAGTTTTACTAAATATAGCTTGGGGTAGATACAAATCTTCTAGCTATATATACATGATCATTAAATTAGCTATACATCAAGTCGAATATACACAGAATATCTACACAGTATTCTTGCGTGCTGAATAATGTAAATGATACGGAATGTAAAAGGTATTTTCGATTAACTACTAGTACCTATAAAGAAATTAATTGATATCACATAATATAAAATACTATAATCTTACAAATTCGCCATTTATTAAAAGTAAATAAACAAATAATAAAAAACATAATAAATAATATATAACTACACTATCATTGGCGAATACTAACTTAAATAATTGTGTCGATGCAAACCAGGTGATGGATGCCAATATTATTTTATTGATGTACCCGTTGCGTTCTTATAAATTTAGTTTCGAGTAATACGTTAAATTTGTTACGTCTTGTTAATACGATATTATACGTAATGTTGTCACTTCATTATAATAAACAGTGTAAATTAAAACTATACATTTGATTAAAAAAAAAAAAAAAATCTGTGAAAAACATTTACACAACTCGATTAGTTTTGTCTTTGGTGTTTGCCGTCAATCAATTTACCCCACCCGCAAAAACGATTTTTACGATAGCGACCATCCACGTGTGAGGTGTGTTTCATTAATATACAATATTATTTGTCATTATTTACGTGTATAGACAATAATATAAGACATAATTAAATTTTAATATTTTTTTTGAAGTATTATATGACCAAATGTATTTTACTTTACAAATCAAAAATCCCAAAAAAGATCGCTACGTAACGGATTTATGTTTGGTAGTATTTCGAAATTGTTACGTAATCGATACATTTATCACGGTTATCGATAAAACTTGTCTAACATATAACATTTAATTTACCGTAGTTATATCTGGTACAACGAATCCGATGTCCAATCGTTGGCTGAAACAAAAAAATAAAATAAAATAAAAAAACCATGCCAATAATGATTTAATAATTTAATAACAATGATAGATAGAAGAAAATAGATGCAAAAGACGGAAATTGCGGTGAATAATATTCGAGGGGTGCATAATTTTTACTAAACATCTATACATGTCTACATTATCATTTTTTTTTTCAGAACGTGAGGAAAAAAACGCCAATAGCAATATTTCTCGAGACTTCAAGAAATTTGCTGTGACTACACGCACTAGAAGTGTATATGGACCCGAATAAATTGAATAGAGTCAATTTTATTTGCTTTTATTTTTTATTTGTTTTTTTTTTTTATATATATTATTATTATTATTATTATTATTCCGGGACGTGAGAAGCGTTGAAAACACCAAGTAGATTAAACAACTGCAAATGCACTGCCGTCGGAAAGGTTGAAGAGCAACTATAAGAGAGATGGAGAAGACTAAATAAAATAGAAAAAACGAGAAAAGAGAAAAGTTAACGACCGCGATGGGACAAAGTTCTGTTGGGTAATATTTGTATTCAAAGAATTTTTCAACCTTTGAATTTTTTATGAGCGAGTGGTAAAAAAAGTTTGTACAACACGCGCACCGGAGGATAAAAAATATAAAATGCATCTAAGTTCTCTAATTTTTAACGTTCGACAGCAAATCACATTATGCGGTTATTACAATATTGCAATGTTCGTCTAATTAACGAGATTCAATGCACGCACTTTATTGACTCTACAAAAAATTAAACCATTTATTATAAGAAAATAAAAAAAGAAAATAAATGATCGGAATATTGTGAAATCATAATGATAAATAGGAAATCATACCATACTTAAACAAACGTGTGTATTAGCGTGTTAGTGTTATCACTTTATTATGAAAAAAAAAAATGAGTTAGAATGATGAAAATACGAATCTCCAATCTTCATACATTTAAAAATCCTTATTTTCAAATTATTCCTGCAATAATATTTACTATTTGAGTAATAGGTATTTACACGATCGGTTCCGAAACTATCATTATTCATTCATTTGTTAAAACTATTTTTCTGTTTCAAATTATAGTTGAAAATAACTCAAGATTGTTAATGTATAATGTTGATTTGTGAAATTTATAAAAATAGTTTTTTATTATCAATCAGAGGTCAATAGATTTTCCGGATTAGTCATATAAACACATGATGAATAATTGCAAAATAAATTTTGGAAATGTCAATTTAGCGGGATAGAGAAACGTGAAAACACACCTATGCGTTTGTATATTATGATATTATCAAAAGTATCGATGCACTTACGTGTTATTGGTTGCACTGAAAAGACGTCTTTACTTTAAAGATAATACTATAATATGGTAGAGGTTTCAAAATTCGAATAAAAATATCATTGTGACGTAATCGACTCAATGATTTGTCTACTTTTAGTTGTTCCGGGCATCGTCCATCACGTAGATATAGTCTTGACAGAAAGCCATACCTCGGAGAGGAGAGCTCGAATGTAGTATAGTCGGACGGCGTTGATTTACACGCATATACGCAATCGCTTATGTGTCGAAAGTCGAAAACTCAACTCGAATTTTAAAAGGTTTAAAAACCATAGATGCCGTCCGTTAAGTAAGACTACACAAAAAAAGGCACTGGCTGATGCAAATGGGGGTCGAGGAGTGCACTTATATGTGAAAGTTAATACCTTTCATCTCCGGTATAGGCCTCGTAGATTTGCAGTTCTAAGTCTAAACGTATAAATCTCACCCGTGTGGCTTAAGTCAAAACTTTGGTCTCGCCAACAGGGCCTCGTACAACAACAACAATAATAATAATAATATTGAACGGTGTATGCGCCTATATTTTATAACAGTATAACATGTACGTCGCCTAAAAAGTAAGTTCAGGTACTTATAACATATAATATACCACTTGCGCAAAACGGTGGCAGTGGCAGATATTGGCGAACGGGCGGGAGAATTGAATTGATACAATTTACTCTCGGATATCACTTTGTGACGGACGGGGTGACGGGGCATGCATGGCCGTGTTTCGCTAAGTCCGGCTTACACGGGTCAAGTTTAGTTTAATAATAATTTATACGCTCGTGCGTATCGAAATATCGGTGTTTACGTTGCGGTGTACCACAAGAGCCAGCCGGACACCGGTTAAAAGAGGATAGGTACCTATCTATACTGCCCACATATAAATTTATACATATTATACCGCGTGGCGTACATTTTATTATCATACATTAAACCTATTATATAGATAACGATAACATATCGCGGTCGCCAGCGGTGTTGCAGCCGTAAATTTTGCTTTTAAAAGGTCTAATTCCGGCGAAATAATTGAACGAAACCGCGGTGTACTTAACTCGGAGGGTTCTTGTGGCCCGCACAAATACATTTTTATTAAAGACGTTTGAAAACGTTACGTACCCGCGCGCAACTTTGGTCCGCGCATACGGCACTTATAATGATAGTTGCGGTCGTCGTGAAATTACGCTAATAACGATAATAACGTATTGCGGTAAAAGTTTTCCAAGGTTTTCATCCAAGAAACAGGGCAAGCGACTTCCTGATAGTGCAATGTTTTATGTAAATAATTACGTCTCGATTAATCGCAGACACGTATTATGGCGTATATTATACAATATAGCGGACAAGACGATTACAATGCAGATTACCGTCAATAATTGTGTTGATTTTCAATCCCAGAAACACAGCAAGAGCGATGTTTGTGTACTATGTGAACATACACGAAAATATAAATCGTTACGTGAGGTGAAATAAAAGTTGGACGGAAATCACGTTTCGTCGTTTCGTTTGCAGTGCAATGTCATAGGTACAGTGCCAATACATCTATCTGTAACCTACTGCAGCAGATCGACGAACGGAAAATATTGTATAAAGAAGTTAGGTTTACGGAGACGAAATTAAATATTCAAATAAGCATAATTTTTGTGTAAGTATTAAGCTAATAATAATAATATTTTACCGTCGCAACAGTGACACTCGAGGGATGACGTAAAATAATTATATATTTTAAATAAAAAACCACGTTTGTAACTCATACGGATACTAACAGATTATCATAATAATAACATACAATACTTGAACGTTTCTTAAAATAATATTATAGCATAATAATATAACATTGCGATCGTACAAAACAATAATACAATCTTTGCATATTATATTATGTTCAAAACGAATTTATGTCCACTCACCTTTATAGTACATGTTTTTGTGCATGTTCAGCTTGCATGTCTTACCCTGAAACAATATAGAAGATTGTTAGAAAAACACAAATGGTAAAGAATAACAATTACATTAAAAAACATTTATACTACAATAGGTAGCTGGTAGTATTATACTAATATAGCAGCGGCTTCGGTACGTTTGTAGAAGTGTACCAGGAAAAGTAATGACAATAACTTTACATTGAAATAACATTTGAATTCATAGTCACATTTTAATGATACACTTACTATACTTTGACGCACACAGTACATAGTTAATAGTTAAAGAATTTAATTTGTATCCATACCATTAAAAATAAAATGCCAGATTATATTTTTTATTTTTTTTTTTTTATGTAAAAGGATTATTCAAAAATACTCAAGGAAGTATTTTTTAATTTTTTGGGGAATGAAAAATATTATAACACAACCCACATACATCTTAAAGTACAAGTAGAATTTTTATTTCCATAATGAGAAGCTATTTGTCATTAGATTTTAATGTTCGTAGAATCTTAAAATATTAAAATACGTGTTTTGAATCGCCCAAAAAAAGCTTCACTACAACACGTAGATAGATTTTTACGAGTTATCATAAAAGTTTAGATTTCATTACTAATAATAACTTAAACATTATGTTATTAGGAAATAATATATTCCAATTATTTGTAGTTTTCTTGAATATTACTTTGTTGAAAAAATAATATAAAATAATATTACGTTTTTCCAAACATTACAGAACTATTATTGATACATAAGACTTTTAGAACTTATGATTATATTGTATGACACGAAATGTTAAGTAACTATTATTGGTTCAAAGTTTAAGCTTTTAACGGCTTTTTTATGGTTGATGTATGCCTACAAAATTCTGTATGCCCAAAATCGTACGCCGATATAAAATACACATTTGTATACAAGCTCAAAAAATATACACATGTTTATGTGAGTATCAGTTCGAGTGCGTGAATTATTTTTTTATCCGACATATATTTTTACTCTCCAAACACGAGAAACACGCAAAAAGGAAAATGCGAGAAAATTTATACATTTAAATACGTTCAGCATAATATTATAAATGCCTTTACGACTTAACGAGTTAGTATGTGTTGGATTTTTTTTTTATTTTTATTTAAATTGACGCGTACGATTTGTTTACGCACGCGCAATGAACCTACCCATACCGATTCTATGGCCAAACTGCAAATAGTTACAAGGCTGTCGATATAATATTATCCATATGCAGTGCCACAATTTCCACCCGGGAAGCCGGGACAACAATAAAGGATATTCCTCCAACTTAAAAAAAAAAAAAAACATTTGTAACTTCATCTTATTCGATATTGAAAAATGTGCTAATTTATGATTTACAATGTAAAAAATGTAATAGTGAAAAGTTTTAAAATAGAAATAATTTATTATTGTATATTTGATTTTATTGAAGAATTTATAACAATAGTTATGACGTCGTAATGGTTGGAGATAGAATTAAATATTTGTTTTCATTAGTAAAATTATAAGTGCACGCAAATATGGCATATACCTTCTCTTAAATTGAATAACGATATTATAAAAAGTAATTACAAAATGTTAGCAGCTTAAATTATATTTTTCAAATTTCTTTTTACTGTAGTTACAACAATGGAATGTTAAAATTTCAAGATTAAAAATTATTTTAGAATTTCTTGGGGCCGGAATCGACTTTCGAGCATAACTTTACTTGTTTACTTATTATATGCATAGATGAACTTCAAAAATAAACAGAAAATATTTCTCAAAATTTTTTCGTATAAAATTTAAGAAAATTAAATTTGTAATAATTATATTCTATACTTATTTATTAAATTAAATTTGTCAATTGATTTTCAAATTTAGACTTTTTTATTAGTAATTAAAACATTTTCTGTCTATAAAAAATAGTTATATAATAGTAAGTACTTATCAACTATTGAAATTTATTTAAAACATACTCGTATTATTAAATTACGTAATATATAATTAGGGATGTTCCTAAGTTTAGAATTTTTTGTTATAAATAAAATGAATCGATTGATTTAAGTGGTTAATAACATATTTTGAATCAATAAAAAAAAATGTAATAAAATAAAGAAAACATGGTTAGCACGAGTGTGTATTTTTTGACTGAAAGATTTAAAACATAACCTGAGTAGATCAATGTGTTGGCTAGTCGAACGGAATGCTCCCGATTTGATGATCAGTTTCAAACGATAAACTTCTAAGCTCAAATATACGATATTATAAGTTTATACTATATAATGTTTGCCGGTCGAATTGTTTTAAAACAATGACCATTCGATAGCGACCGAGTTCGGTAATATTTTTATTTTTTTTTTGTTCCAGTTATTACATATTTGAGTCCATTACCCTAAATCAAAATTTAAAAATACAAATACACTAATATTTACAGTAACTAATCAGACTTGCTATTTAAGGAAACTCAAATTTATTAAACACTATTTAAGTACAATGTAGCATAAGAAAAAAAAAATGTAAGGATTGAATGGAAGTAAAAAAATAAAAATTTACACTTAACATCTATTTCAAAAGGAAATGTAGTACCCAACTTGTAATTATAATATATTCAACAGCGCTATATTGTATATTAGTGACTCCTGCAGAATTCAGATTTTTTTTTTAACTAGCGTAACAGTTTTTATGGAGCAAATAGTATATTATGACGTGAACATTACACATTTATATTATAATACGTCTATGGCGTATATAGGTAAAAAGTATATGAAAAAAAAAACTAAACGAAAACTTTTGTTTTTGACTATATAATTTTCGAATATTACTCTGCGAAAACTTTTGTTGTGCTTTAAGATTTCACGTTGTATATAAACTAATAGAAAGTGGCCGCTCTCGACATGAGATTTATAAGTAAAGTTGTTATTTCATACTTGTTTATAATATATGTATATATATATATATATATATATATATATATATATATATACACACATACGCATTTAAATGTTTGAATGAGGATAAATACGTAAGCATGTAACAACCGCAAATAGATTCGGTTGAATATATTATTATATATCTGCAATAAATATCAATCCAAAACTTGTAGTTATCGGATAATAATTAACAATATACCGAGTGATTTATTTCACAGTAAAGGACAAACGTTATCATAATCTTAAAAAGTATGAACGTTTTTTGAATAATATTTTAACGTTGTTTAAAGTCATATAATAATAAAACATTTAAAAAAAAAAAATTAAATTATTTATCTTGATAATTTTTAAGTTATTTTAAAGTTTTAATTTTTTGAATAACAACACATATTTTAGCATTCAATATTTTTATATAGCAAAAATCTTCAAATAATATAAGATACCAAGAATATTATAAAAATACATTTATATTTTTGGGTTAAAGAATGTTAATTGTTAAAATAATCATCGAGAATTAACGTAGACGACTATTACTATGAATGCATAGAATACGCGTACAGGAAAAACTAATTACATCAACTCCAAATTTTAGATACCACGTTTTTCGTTCTATTTGGCGCCAATAAATGGGTTGTGAGTGCCATCGTGACTAGAAACCCAAACTAAAATAATGTTTTTTTTAATTAATTTTAGATCAAACCACTTGAGCTTCACAAATTAACACATTTTTCCTGTACATAAGTCGTGAATAGTTTTCTGATTTAATTTATACTACAGACGTCTCTACTTTTTGATATATTAACTCGAATAGTTAGTTATTTCACTTATCTGTTGCTTGTAAAAAAAAAGAAAAAATAAGGAAGAAGAAAAAATACATTAATATCACATTAGTCTAAAATGTTGTCAGTAGCTGATTTATCAACGACTAAGTAAATCAAAAGTAAATAAAAAGTGAATAAATTATTTATTTATTTTTTATATACATATCTATCTAAATAAAAGGAAATTTTTGTGTGTATATGTGGTTCATAGTCGAATCTATCGTAATTATAATAATTTTAAAATTTGATACGTACATCTTTATAAGTATAATCATATTCTCAAAGATAGACATTCCCAAGTTAATTTTTAAATTTTATATTTTAATATATTTTACACAAAAATTTGTTGACTCGTAAAAAACAAATATTAGTTTGTTGGTATTTGGTAACCAAACAGTAAATAAAACAAAATTTGTAGTAGGAAATAATTGTTAAATGAGTTAAAACTTAAAAATGAAATTTAACCTAACTTATGTAGTTTACATTTAAAGTAGTTAAAAATAGGATAAATTCACTGATATTATTTAATTTTCACTGAAAACATTGTACAAATTTAGCTAGTTTTATATAACAATAATATTGTTTGCTTTTTTCAAATAAAATTGTTTATTTTAACGTGTTGGTTTCATTCTTTGAATACATTTTTAATAATTCTAGTTTTCACATTAACACTGCTACCTTTAGAAATATTTTTTTTCGGATAGACGTTTTTTGGCTTTATATATAAAAAAAAAAAAAAACACTTGTATCTATGACTAGATAGGATCATTGATATAACTTAAAAGTTCTATAATATATCTAAAATAGTTGTTCAGGGGTTGTTCAATTATAAATTAATAAATTATCGACCGTGCTTGTCTAATAAATAGCAGTATTATAAACGTCGAGACGAAATTGCTCATACAATGACCTGACCTGCTAACATATTTTAGTAATATTATTAAACAATATTAATACCTATTAAAAAAATATTCATTAGGTACACTATGTACAACCATGTATATTTAGTTTTTAAATAAAAGTTTAATGGTTAATATTTAATTGACACATACAAATACATTTTCTATATTTATTAAGTAAAATGTTATCAGTATTTTTTTCAGTAGAGAGTTTCTTCAATCAAAACGGTTGTAGCCCATTTGGCTTCTGTTTCTTTGAACGACTCCCGTTTTACAAAAAAGTCAATTTCCAAACGACTCCTGTCCAAAAAGATCTAATGATCAGGTAAATTCCTAAACGACTCCAGTTTTTTACAACACAAATTTCTTTCCACTTTATACAGTCTTAGA